GAATAGCCTGTTTGATACCTTCGGCACCCAGCATGAGGGTTCCAGCAGGAAGACGACCGCCAGCCGCCGTCTTCAGCTCAGTGACACTCTCGGACTGCTCGCGGAGAACCTGGAAGACACGAGAGAGGCGGCCAATAGCAAGAATTTTGTTTTTGATAGCACGTCGTTTGAACTCGCTGGATTCGGGGTCCGTTGACGGAGGCGAAATTGGTTCTTTATCTTTGTTTTCAACGGGAGACACAGGTGTGGGAACCTCGACATCGACCTCGTCCTCCAACTCTTCCTTCGAGCAGGTGTTGAGAATAGCGATGAGCATATCCGTAATTTTCTCACCAACGAAGGGCAAAGACCAAGTGAAAACATCCATAAAGTTGGGCAGCCAATATGGGTGGGGGGTGCAGTTGAATTGGCGGATGTTCATCACATTGTTCTCATATTTGAGGACAGCCGCCTTGTTGTTGTAGACATCCAAGTAGTTGGGCGCACTGAAAATAGTCATAACACTGGGGAAGCCGGTGGTTCGCGTCTTTCTGTACATGCGATATCCGGCATCCTGAGCCTCGTGTGCTCTGATGATGGAGAGCAAATTGTTCTTCTCCAAAAACGCGCATGCCGCGGGATAAGAGAAAAAGTAGGAACAACCACGGACACTGTTATGAATGAAGAAATCGCCTGTCTTTTCTTGACCAAATTCCTCGAGGGGATCAGCCCAAAGGATGTCGCACATGAGCCCGTGGGTTGGGGGTTCGCGGAAGCGATCAATCTATGTCTGTAAGTTGTTTGACCTTGAAACTGCGGACGGGACATATACATACAGCCTTGATATCTTCGAGGGTATGCAGTTCGGGGCTGAGACCGCCGTGAATGCAGAGGAACTGTTTGTTCATAACCGCCGCCAGCGGCAGCGCACAGAAGGATTCCAGACATGCCTCGTAGATCCGTTCACTATATTTGTGCTTGCACTCCAACTTGAAGGTGAAGTAGTCCGTCAAGTGGCGACATTCGTGATTACCCCGCAGCAACCAAAGTGAATCGGGATACCAGATCTTCAAGGCCCAGAGATAGAGGACGCACTGCGGGGAAAAATGGTCAGGATGGTTCTAGATTCGAAAAGGAGACTCGGATGATCTACCTCGATACTGAAATAACCACGGTCCACATAGTCACCCAAAAACAAATACCTCGTCTCTGAAGGGTCACCGCCGACCTCGAACAACTTCATCAAATCGTAGTACTGGCCGTGAACATCGCCACACACTGTAATGGGCGCATCCATTTCGAGCAAATTAGGCTCAGCCTTCAGAACCTGTGTACCGGCGTGGATAATCCATAGCGCCTGTTCTTCAGAAAGACGGCCCTCACGATAGAGGTGCTGCTTGAGGTACTGGAGATTGGGCTTGGATGGATCTTCCGGCGACCAAAACATATCATCCGGAGGATAGCTGAGAGCGGGTGCTTGGACCTCTAAGGCCACGAAAGACCGTTAGCGATCAGATTACCAGATCTTGCGAAAGCGACCGAGACCACTGCGGCATTACCTTTGACCACCCTCTCCATTGTCGACACCTGCGTGTTGTCTTCCATCGTGTGCAGTGTGAAATCGATCTCCGGGACCGGCTGCTTCTCAGTCACGGCGCGCGCTATAGCCCGATCCATTTTGGCAAAGATTGAAATGTAGTTTGAATTTTGAGTTCGGAGTAAAGGGGGGGGGGAGACTGGGGGGGATGGAGAAAAGCGCGGAGGTGTGGCGGGGGCGAGTTCAGCGCGGGCGGGATAGAGCTCCCACGACGAATAAGAGTATAGAATTAATAGAACACTGATCAAGCCGAAGTTCAAAGGGATCGAAAAAGAAAACAGTGCCCAGGGGGGGATAAAATGGGTACTGGGGGTGATTGTGTGCTGGGGGAGATGTGAAGGGAAAAAGAGAAACAAGTTGGATAAGCGGCTTCTGGCTAAGATCGGTGGGTCTCACACCAACGTTGATCGTGACTGTATCGGAGACGTTTCCTTTTCCTTTTTCTTCTTTAGGGGGCAAAGAGTATGATTGATATCTGGATGTTGCGAGAGACAAGAATTAGATCAAGTTCAGCCTCATGACAACGTGATGACTCGATGCCTAAGGCAACTGTGATATTTTTTACCCCACGCTATCAGATTCAATCGATCAGATTTCGATTATGTCGACATTTCACTGCATAGTGTGAGCGTTACTAGCAATATTGTATGGTTCAGTTTTGGCCTCGGCTTCGACCTTTCAGCCTAGGCCCGATTTGCTTAGACCGCTAGACTTGCGTATGCAGCACTGATGGTCTGCACGGGAAATTGTTCATATCTGCAGCTATTGCTCTTCACTCGACGTCGGATTTGATGAAACGGACATTTATATGATAGGGATGCAGGCAACTTACAGCTCAGACCTGCCGTAGGCTAGATCTACAATACTACAAATCCCTCAAGAATGCTCCCCTAATTGATATGCTACATGCTCCACAGCGTGGCAGTTTGATCAACAATCGTTCTGAAAATACATATGAATTGAGTGAGAGATATAACTGACACAAAGTATAGGCAAGGCATATTTGTAAGAGCGAAATTTGTTGACATACCAGATTGGAAAATGTTGAAGTGCCTGAGGTGTTAGGGCATAATCTAGGGAATTGTCTTGCCGAGGAGGCGCTTTCATTCTTCCGTCATGCAAAGATATCTTTTCATGTAAACAAGCTTCGCCAAGCCTTGCGAGTGTGCGCGAGTGAGACTGATTTTGAGGAGAGCCTTGGAATGTATGGTTCTTATCAGCAGGTGCGCTGGGTTGGTCAATATTGATGAAACAAGAGATATCGTAGGGCTTGAAGCAGATAAATCGACCAAGATGGGCTCCAGCTGGGTGTTCTGCTAAGAAATTCAAAAATAGCCAGACCCTGTTGAGGAGTTGAAACATGCCCTTTCCGGTGACTTTGTACCTCTACGCACCTATACTGTTGAGACCCCGCTTAGGTTGATATTACTTCCTTCTTCTTTTCTCTCTTAGCAAGCCAACACAATACAACCCGTGGTTTCCTTTCCCATCGTATACACACAGCTTTGATGGTGCACGAGAGGCCGGCTCTTTTCGGATAAACAGGCTGGTAATATGGCGGGCACATGGCGATGCAGAGTCACAAATGACCAAGAGAAAAAGATAGATTGAAGTATGATTTCTAAGCCAGTATCATTTAGGTAGCAAAATGTCGTTTTTCCAAGTTTATCTTAGATTAACCTCCAAGTTCCTATCGTACTCAAACCGGCTGCAATGTTGTCCCCTGACAAAGTATATATCACTCACTCTCCTCTCCACTCATCCCCTCCAACCACACCAACCACACAGTGCTAGCGAGGGGATGGCCCCTAAGGGTACTGTAGGGGATGTATATGAGTGTGTGTTCTAAACCAGTAGCCATGGATACTCTCTTTTCTCTCTATTATATCCTCTTTGCATCGGGCGAATAAGACTTCTAGCTCTAAGGTTTCGGGGTATTGGTTTATCCTTGAGACTTTCCAAGGTTCAACTCAAGCCATATTAGTCGTTGACAAAGAAGCAAATTATACCTAAGATGACATACTACGTAACTCTAACGTCGTCTATTTTACTCTTTCTCTCTGGCTTTGCAATTTTTATTCAGCTTAGTCTTCCTCTATATCCATTTCAATACACCTTGGTATCAGCTTCGCTTTGATGATGGCATCAGATAATCTAGACTGCAATCAGCTCGGAAGATTCTTGAGTGCAGTACTCGGAGCGACCGTTACACTTATTCTAGCCAGAATCGTGGAGAAATGCTACTATTACTTTCAACGGCGGTATCGCTCTGCCAATACCACAATATTAAACGCAAGAACCGCCGCCGGTGAAGATATTCGTGCACTGGATAACCCAGACGATACTCTTTATCTTCCAGTTTACAACACACCTGTTACATCGCCGGGGCATGCTATCTCAGATATAGATCGAGATATCAAGAAGAATCTACACAACGCTGGAGCGACAAGACCATGAAATGGTTCTGTTTAATAAAAGGGAGCCTCAAACAGGATGCGAGGTAGGAAACAGAAATGAAAAGAGACAATGAGGACTTTTGTATGTGCTCGGTCATCACATTGGCTACCACCTGATTACATTTATGTTCTAGGTGTCGTTGAATTTGCAGGGGAAAGGGGTGGGGACACATTTATTTGCTGGAATCATGATGCTCCCAGATACTTCCCTGTATGTTACTTACTCGGTTTCGCTACAATACTCGGATCCTAGTACACTGTATGCTCAATGTCTTTAAGAGCCTGTTAGCTTTTGACTTATTGATATTTTTGATTCCGGAAATTTTAATTCTATTGCAATTGCGAAATATATTAAACAGATCACCCTCTAGAATACTCTAGCATGATGTACCATGATATGAATTTCACAGGCCTCTTATGAGTCAAGACCATACCTTAGGCTTTCCCCACTGCAGTAGAGCCTGATTACAATGAAAAGAAAGAAGAGAAATGAAAACCGAAACCCAGCCGTTGAAGAAACCTTACCCCCCTGGCGTTAAAATCGAGATCCTTCCTAATTGGGTAGCCTTGGCGTTCTGAATTATTGTATTACCTAAGCACCGATGATCGCTCGGCCCGGGTTCCGATAATGAGTCCCACCGGGATGCGTCAACATCAGAGACGTATAGTCTACCATCTTATCCTGTAGGCTCGATAATGATAAAGATAACCAAGGTATTTAATTTCGGTAATCGTATATTCTATTATCGACCATATTGTAGCAGATTGCTTAATGGATATTTGCGGGCCAATTTTCAGCATGTCTGTCCATAGTTCTCGAAGAGTAGAAAATAAATTATCTCAATTAGAAAAGAGTACAAGCTAAAAGTCGCTAGAGCGAGCTACAGTACAACCTGTCATTCCAACAATAATATATATCAGTCATCCCATCCCCTAATATTCCATAAAACCCCACAAGTCTCTCCTACTCACTCACCTAGCGTAGCCTTCATCTGCCGACTCCATTCATCCCTCTTGATTCGCAGAAGAATCAACGGAACGCCACTTAGCAAACAGAATAAACAAACCGCAGTGAACGACCAACCCGTGCCAATCGCATTGAACAGCGGCTGTGCAATGACCGCGCTCACACATGACAAACTGTTTCGCACGAGGTTATTCACCGCGACGCCGATGGTGGAATTCTTCGGTGTAAATTCCGTCAGCATTGTCATGGTAACGTTTGTGAGAATCATGCCGCCAAGCCCGTAGAAAAAGTTTCCGAGGAGCTATTATATAGTATATTAGTCCCTGCTTGAAGCTGGAAGGGGAAGGAAGCGATGGAATAAATAAACCTACCGGGACCAACCAGAACTCGTGCTTATCGGCCGTCCATCCCCACCACAAGAGGGCTCCGGGGAAGAGAATACCCGCAAGGAGACAGTTCTCGCCTATACGATCGACCGGGTGGAGGATCAAATCCCCCATGTCATTGTATTGGCCCTCCTTTCGAGCGGTCCGCGTCATGATATAATCTTGCCAGCGGCCGCCAACGATAGCACCGAAAAGTAGGCCCAGGCCACCCGGGATATAGGCCACACCGACAAGGATAGAGCTCCAGGAGTATGGTGGCAAGGCGAAGGTGTCTTCGATGGAAACGCAGATGAGGTAATACGTAGCGAAGACAATGCTGGTGTAATAGACTGTAATAAGAATTGGAGGGTATCGGAGGAGCTTGGAAGCTTCCATGGGCTTTAGGAGGAAGTAGAGGGCTTTCTTGCCGGGGCTGGTGGCGTCGTTTCGGTGCTTGGCGCGGTTCTCTTCGAGGTTGGTGGCCGTCTCCGGCATAAATAATACCATCAATGCAAACACTGCCCAGCTATAGATAACCATAAACCACTGCGTACTGCGCCAACTCCAACGCATGGTGAGCGCCCCGCCGATAATGGGAGCAAACATGGGCCCCAGCATGGGCCCCAGCATGAAAGCGCCCATAGCCTTGCCGCGCTCTTGCGTTTCGAAAATGTCAGAAATGGTACCGGCGCTGACTGCTTGAAGGGAGGCGCTGGAGGCATTCGCAAGGAGTCGCATGGCAATAAACATGCCGATGTTGGGGCTGATAGCGGCGAGAATGCTGAAGATTCCAAGAAATAAGAAGGACAGTATGTATACTAGTCGACGACCATAGAGCTCGGCTAGGTATGACCACCACAAGGGCGTGATGGCGACAGAGAGTGAACCAAAAGCGATAGACAAGTTCACCACCGACACGGTAGTGTGCATATCCTTGGCAATCTCTATCAGGCAGGCTGTTTGAAATCAAATATATCAGTTTCTTGTTCTGGCTGGGGAAGATGGCGACTTACGAAAAAGAACACCACTACTCAACGGAACCACCAACCCTCCCATCGCCACAATAAAGGTCAAAGCCCACTTCATCCCCGGGGTATAATGCGTGGGACTCTGCAAGGCTGGGACAAAACATAACCACTGGAAAAATCCCCTGTGAACGTGTTGCGAACTATGAGTATCGATTTCTTGCCTGATTCCAAGTTCTGCCTTGGTATCGTCTTGCGTGGGCTCATTGAGCGAATCTGTTCGCTCGTCCTCTGGCGTTGTTTCTGTGATTCTTGGGGATTGCATCATGTTCAATGCTGCTGGAGACTCGGCACTACTGCGTTGATGTGCGAGGGACATGTTGGTCGCTCGATACTGAATGCTCCTACTGATAAGTCCCCTTGGAAGTATATAAAATCATCAAATCCATGGATCCACCTCGGCCGAGATGTGGGGCCTCCCGCCTCGTACGAGGCTCCACCCGTGGACTGGGCAAATCTGGAGTAACCTTATTTAACTGAGGTACCCCTACCTCGGTAAAAGAAGTACTAAAAGGCCCAAGAAAATCTCCGAAGTGGCATGGAGACAGGAAGAGACTGTATACGGGATCTGGGCTAAAGCGGCCAAAAATCTACAATCCCAACGAGATTCTAGTGGGAGAAGGCCCATTGGCGAACCACGAGGAAAGCCATGAGATATGTAAAACGGAAATCTTTGTGTGTGAAGTAAAAAGGCGAGTCTTGACGCCGTTGATGCTCCCTGACATAGCGAGTGATGAGCGAATATCCATTAACAGACGGTTTGTCAATCCTCGTGGCAAAGCAGCTACATGATGCCCAGCTTATTCCCCGAGAATAGTTCCTCGTTTTCATACTCAACAATTAGTGCCACGACGGTAGCTCAGACTCCTACCCATATTAAAAAAAGGATGATCAGTATATGTATGTGAGGGTCAATCGACCAATAAACACGCCTACTTTCTCAGCAAGCCCAGAAATCAATCAGTGCGACCTTGAAATTCCATCGGATTCGAACTGGCCAAGTCCGCAAGATCAAAGTCTTCCAGATTCACCATACCCATGAAATCCGCCGTATCGAAGCCCGTCTCCACCAAACCCGGAGGAGCAGTATCAAATGTGTTTATCGACATGGGATGATTATTCTCAGATGAACCGGTCTCAGTAGGCTGGTTGTCAATACCAGAACTGAGGCCCTGCTGGAACCGAATTTGATTCACCAAGCAAATTATTGCGGGCCACGCACCCGTGGGATACTGACCCCGGATTTCGTAGATGGTATTCGCTAATTGGAGGCCTCGCTGGCGGAGATCGGCCCACTCCGGAGATTGAAAGCTGGGACTGCAGAGTTCAGAGAGTACGTAGAGAATCAGAGAGAAGCCGGCATAGGAGAAGATATGCCATTGAAAGGGTTCACAGGCCTTGGCGGATGCGATAGCGCACCAGTTCTCCACAGCTGTGACGGCGTTCACGAATACACTTGACGTTGATACTGTCAGCGAAAACGTTCCCTTTCGGATGGATTTTTAGGAATAGCAAGCGGGGTCACAAAGTGCTTACCTTCTTCTCATAGCGGGAATGATGACCTTCTCTCGATCTTGTCGCGAGATTTGAATCCAGAACATGACCCAAAACTTGGATTTTAAGTGATTTCTCAAATCCAAGGCCATTGATTGAATACTTACCCTCTTATCGCAGTATCGGACGAGATCGTCCAGATTCCTCTCAAATTCGCTGGCAAGAGTCTGAGCAGTGCTCAATAGGCTTTGTAGCTCCACTAATGCTTCAGCCGCATCCACAGGACCGCTGACGCGCAATTTCTTTCGCGAAGCATGTGTCACCTGAATAATACGCCTGTAATATTGAACTGTGGTGATCCGCAGGAGATAGATGGTCATATCGGTGAATTTGGGGGCATCCGAGAGCCCGGACGAGGGTGCCACTCCTTCAATGAGATCGACATCATCCAGGCTAAGGGGTCGACGCGTATCGAAGTCCGACTCATGGATTGAAGGCGCAAAACCCTGATCTTCAGCCGCGCGGAAATCCAAGTAACAGATCTGTGCCCACAAGCGACGACGCAGCTCCACCTGTACGACGTCCATCGTCCCCAGCAGTAGAGCTAAAGGGTCCCGGTGAAGTCCGTGGACCGTCGCTATCCGAATGGCCAGCCCAGTCAACGGCCATATCTTCCCCATGTCATCTTCCCGATATTGCGCGGTCTTTGGAGTGTAGATATGTTTTAGCTCAATACTCGAGATTGACTTTTGTTCAACTTACCAAAAAAATCACGAATGCTTGCAAAATCTCAAAGACTTTGGAGGTCATGAATTTCTGCCGTTTCAGATGCACTTCCGTTCCCGTTCGGTATCGATTCAGTAGGTAGGACTTGTCCGTGCCGAAAATGGTGGCCACGTCATTATCGTTCATGCTGTTGACGGCCGCGTAAAATATGGACATGGCTAGCGGCTCGAATGCGTCCATATTATTCGGGTGGAAAGTCATACTGCTACTTCTCCCCGTTATGATAGGGAAGTGGTTGTTTTCTAGGAGGTAATGGGCGCCAACAAATGTGTCAAAGCGACGGGCCAAACTCGGACGATGGACGACTCGGTGAATCGGGTCGACATTGACCAGGAAAACATTTAGGAGTAAATAGCAATCCTCTCGTGTATCAGGCCAGAATGTAGCCCCGCTAGCTACAGGGCAATCGGCATCCCAGATGACATCTTCGAGCGCCTCGGGGGCGGAATCCTGAGATTCCGCGAGAACGGATTGGATGCCTTGGAGCTATGTAAGCAGAGACTTGGTCAGTACCTCTCTGCCTTGGCATGGGCGCAATCTTCAAGGATAATGGGGAACACACCTCTGCTGCCATCCAGGCCCAGTGTTTGCTAGAGACGAAGTGAGGGACCCCATTATCGAGAACCAGTGTATCTTCTTGCGATCGCGGCTGTACGGGCATCGTTGGTGTTGGTGGAAATGAGTCCTCAGAGGGCACATATGCTTTCGCTTGTGCCATGGAGTTACCAAGACGTTGGAGACCGGGACTGATTCGGGCTAGCGTGGATGAAGAGATCTTGGGGGTACTGTTGGGTTTGGTTATCCGACTCGACCCCGAGGCCAGCCCGAGCGACTGAGGCTTCGACACATAAGAACAGGCATGATTTCCTCGTTCACACACTAAACATAGCGGTTGTCGGCGGTCACATTTGACCTTGCGACTACGACACGGTAGACAAGAGGTAATGGGACGAGAGAAGCTACTCAGGGATGGAGACCTAATGAGTCCCGTAGGATCCTGTGCGGATGAGTGGTGAAAGGAAGAGACAGGCATGGTGAAGGGAGGGAGAAATGGGAAATATTGGATGCGGTGCAAAGTACTTCGTAATATGGTGGTAATCCCCAGGAGTTTAATTGGAACGACAATAGTAAGGTTGAGTAGCCAAAAGTAAACACTCTGTGCTATTATTTCCACTACTAGGGATCTCGATGGCCTAGGGCCTCCAGATAGTCGTTGCAGAGCGAAGCGACTTATTCCAACTTCTAATGCTACGCAAAGCCCCCTCTTACTGGCTTATTCTCCCCCATGCCTGTAATTTCAGTACTGCCTTCACAATTAGGCATATTTCCTGCTATGGTAGTAGGAAGACAGCAGATACTTACAATTTATATGTAATCTACTAATAAAATTAAGTCCGTTTTATCATATCATTATTAACTGCTTAATCAACTACTTCATCGTCAATTACTTTAGAAACTACTTAAGCAACCGCTTGAGAAACCGCTTGGAAACCTCTTGAGTAACCACTTTAGTAACCACTTAAGTGACTGTTTAAGTAACTGTTTAAGTAACTGTTTAAGTAACTGTTTAAGTAACTAACCACTGAAGCAATCGCTTAATGACCGCTTGAGCAACTGTTCTAGTAACTGCTTTAGTAACTAGCCTATAGCACGTAATAACTAGAAATTATCGTCTAGTCAGATTAGGCCTAGTTTATATTTATTCTGCCAAAGTTAGCTGATTACTTCTTCACCGCATTGATTCTAATGATTTTGATAGGAGAAAATCTAAAGACACCTAGGATGACAAATAGAAAAATATCCAAGAAACACAGAGGGTTATCTGTGTACTTCTTCATTTCTAGACTACTGAAACACCTTTACGAAGTCGGTATAGCCCATTCTAAAGAGGGATCTTGATGTCTGAATACCTGAATTAGCACCGCTTTCTGCACCCCTTGGTGGACTTGTGACCTACTATATAGCTGCTCACGATATCCACGAATATTTGGTCGATTTAGGATCATAACATTCATACCAGTGAGCTGTGACTAAATCCGAGTGAACAATCAAGATGGGTCCGGTAGAGCATAGGACATCGTTACTTTACTTCTTCTCACAAGTGAAGAATAAGATTCTCTTTCTAAGTCTATATCATGTGCTGCGGCTCGCTGATCCATCGTGAGTTTATCTCATCTGGCAAGTGAAGAACAAGTATCTCTCAGCCCTACAGACCCATTCATCTTCATCCTGCGGGCTTTCAGCCGCGATATATTTGAAAAAGCTGACGAAATTCGTGCAGCGTAATTTACCACTAGACCATAACAAAAACCAAGGTTCTTGTTCAGGGCCTAGAGGGGCCATATCCCATTCTTGACAAAAGCCACCGACATGCCAGGTATGTTGCCATAAGCCACGGACAGAGAACAAGAGGCTAGTGAATCAAGACCATAGACTAACAAGTCCTAGATATAGCGATTCCAATTGAACCACCGCTCAAAGCTAGTGGTGACCATTCAGCCGGAAATGATTCAGATGGTGAAGTACTCGGCCATTTGAAAGCCTCAATCCTTGGTGGAGATCCAAACCAGAAGCCCGGATACTGGGCTCGGCGAGTCCTTCAGCGCCCCTGGGTAAGGGCCAACCGATATTATGCTAAGCAAGGGGAGCTTCTGCATTTCCTGAAATCTCAATCCCCAGTTCGAGAGCCTGTAATTCGACAGATCAAGTCTTGGGATGGGCCCAGGCTAGACGACATGATCAGTGGCAAGAAAGTCAACATCGAGGCTATTCACGCCCAAGTGGTCGGTAGGGATATGCCGGGAGATATGAGCTGCAGCCATTGCGCTAGGGGGTGTGGTCCTTTCCTAGCCTGCGTCCAGATCCCGAGTGAGTCTGGGGAGGCTACTGAATGCGCCAACTGCCACTTCGGCGGCATAGTTACACGATGTAGCCTGAAACCAGAATCAGACTCTGCGACCAGCGTGCAAAAGTGCTACACTCCAAACCAACCTCTCCCAATCCTCGACCAGGAGGAAACTAATACACCAGATGGCACACACTCATCCTTAACCACGGACCATAGTCCAGCGGAGCCCCTACCTCAAAACGTCAGGTCGGAGGCCATTTAAACCCTGGAAACCCTGGAGCTTTGTCTTCTGGATATAGGCACAGATATTGTGCCCCAGGGAATAATCAAGAACAAAGAGATCAAGCGGAAAGGCATTTGGCAAACCCTGGGGGCGCTTAGGAAGGAGGAAAAGAACTCGGATGCGAATAGCAGAGATATGATATGAAGTATAGCTAAATACGCAGAAATGGAAATAACTCATTTTTTCTTTCACGTTCTTCCTTCTCTTTAACCATCTTCACACTCTGTCACAATTCAGCAACAGCACCCATCTTTTTCTCGCGTTCTAGCCTATAATCAATTCCTATTCTCATTAAACCATTTTAACCAATGGCCAAGTAAGTCTCTATGGCTTCTGTGTGTCCTCGAGGTCTTTCTGTGTGTCCTTGAGCTTATTTGTATCTCGGATATCCTTCCTTTGGGTATCGGCCCTTTTCTGGAGATCTTGGACAGCCTGTGACAGAGTCTTAAGCGTTTCCAGAAGGGTCGTTCCCTCACTGTTCGCCCATGCTTGGTGACTGTCGTTAAACACGACCGGGTCTGGTGATAATGCTTGTCGCATTATTGCAACTGAGTCTTCGCTCGTAAGCCCTGACAGAGTGTGATTGGCTTGGCCCTAGTATAATTAGCGATAATGATACTATTACTCAAATGTAGCGACTTGCCTCGGGTGGTAAAGCTCGCTGCAATGTGGGGATCGACTGCGGTACAATCGGGCTGAGAGAATCACGGGTAGTGGGTTTGTTTGTTGGGGTTGATGGAGGACGGGATTTCCGTCCTTTCTTTTGACGTTTCGGCATTTTAGCTGATTTTCTGACTCTAGGTACGGACCGTACCGTACGGTCGAGAGCTCCATTCGGAATGTGGGTCTCTTTTAATATATTTGAGGGTTTAGTCACTTCTATTCCCATGCAAATTTCTGGAAGGAATGGCCAACCTATCTGACATGTCCATATGCCCTTCTCCTATAACTTCCGCTTCTTAAATGGCCCCCATTCTTTGACAGCTCTTGGAGCGGTGAGAGAGATATGTAGAAGGTTAGATTCCTACAAACGATCGAGATCTAGTTAGCTAAATAGCTAGGTGAAGCCTGGCAAACCAGGCAACGGCATGTGATCGGCACGTGGCCACCACAACAACAGCAATTCTGCCACCTGCTCTTCTTATCTGACAATAATTCAAAGACAGTGACTAATTCTCGGTGCAAGCTAAGGGTATGAGAGATATATGAGAAATTCAAATATACTCCAAGGATATAGACTATTTAGGTGCAATAAAAATAACCGTTGAACCTAAGCTGAGGGTTGGGTGATCCTTGATAAGGGTGCAGAAACCTTCTTTCAAAGCTATACCGGGTGTGATAATTGCCTTTTCAGATAGGGGCACAAGCCACATGCGGCCGAATTTGTTAGAGATCAGTCTTGGCTGGGCAAAGTATGCCAGACTCCATCCTAACCCCTAGAATAACATGAGTACAGATAACCTATCAACTGGCTTGTAACCTACATCTCCAAGTTCCATCTCCTTAATCAACTCAGTTACTTTCTTGTCAAGGAACATTCCGTCGTAAACTTTGTTTCCATTTTTATCTTCCTCAAAGATAGTTGAATCTGTATGCTGTGACTGGGATGGCTTAGGGGTAGCTTCGGCAACTATATCTTTAATCTGCTTGCGCAGACTCTCGGCCGCAAGAGAGAGTGGGCTGTGGCTCATCTCAAGGGATAAACAATCGAGCAACGGGTAACGTCGTTTCTTGATCACAACCAGGAAGCCTTATTAGAGAAAGGGTTGTTAGTATTATAGGTTCACTAGGGAACTTCAAATCGTTGGGGAATTACCTGTGCTTTTTGTTGATAAAAGATGAGTGGAATAGAAGGGTCGTGGAGGGGCATCTCCAAGTCACTCCCAGTAGAAGAAAATCATGTGATCAATAGAATGCACTTAATTGGCGTTGGTAGACGCGACCTCTCCCGGTTGTCTTGCGAAATTTTAGAAGCTAGTAGCGGAGATGTGAGAGAACATGATACATTTCTCTACTTTGATTGACATTATATGACAACGAGCTTCTCAAACGTTTGAAACTCCGTCGATGCTAGCATAGATGAGGCGGACGGCCTACTATCATACCCAATAACATCTATATTACACTGGCCCGTAGGATTCCCCTTTTCATGGATTAGGGTGCCATGACTCATCATGAAGTAAGGTTTATCTCAGCTCCAAGTGAAGTGAATTCAAGTCAGACCTGATCTAGAATTGAGTTACCTTCTAGGTACGTCTCACTCATTATATTTTCTTATCTCCGTATCAAGATGGCGACGCACCAAGGCAGCGACCTTAATTTTGATGGCAGCTTCCTGAAGGACCTGCCTTCTTCCATCGAAAGGTACACATACCGTGGAGAGTCACAATTCTTTGACATCTTCAAATCCGAATTCACTCAACTCAAAGCCTCTACCGACGCTAGCGAATTCTCCCTCTTTCATGCAAGCAAAGAGACCATCAAAGCTATTTTCAATCCTCAAACCGACGACACTATCTCAAAGTGCTGCACTTCCTTCAACATCAACGAAGAGCTTTTCTTAGCCACTATGATGTCAAACCCACATAGTGTAGCGATTCACGAGATGAACAATGCCATTATCGAGGCTCTGCTCCCAATGGGATTGTTCAATTGCATCAGAGGATATCCGCGTGCAACCGTCGAAGGGGAAAGCCGGGGCAAGGCGACTGACTATGGCTGGGGACCCAAAAGAACACCGCCTGGTCAGCGCATATCACCCTCTGTTGCCCTCGAAGTTGCGTTCTCGGAATCAGATGCAAAATTGAATTCCGACGTCCGGTTTTGGCTAAACCCCGATGATGGCAATGCGAAGGGATGCCTAATGTTACCCTCGGAGGGGTGCACGTGACCCTACTGTAACTAGTTACCCCGCTACCGTAGCTAGCTAATATCATCATCATCATTCCCCTGAGCTACCAGTGTGTCACCTAACCCTCAGCATCGAGCGCTCTCGACCGGAAATTAGAATCGAAATCTGGGAGAAGAAAGACAACAGGTGCCATCGCTCCCAGGTAACCTGGATTACCGGAAAAGGAACCCCGACGCACGTCACCCACCATCCGCTCATTATCCCCCTTGAAAGTCTATTTCTTCGCCAGTCAACTCGCCCCGAGGAGAAGGATTTAGCGATCCCAGAACAGCGACTGCAGATAATCGCGGAGACGATTTGGGAAGTCCAGGGTTAGTAGATTTCGTTTCGTTTCTTTCTTTCTTCCTTAAATGTACTATTGGTACAGGATCATACGAAGGAGGCTTGATAGAAGAACAATAATATGAAGGCTGAGATCTTATCTGAGCATGAATTGTCTTTCAACTATTTCAAATTCTCTACTAGTTAGCCTGAGTGGCACTCAGGCCTTGACGATATCGAATCCCTCTTCCCAGTTATCTAGGGCTGCCCGAATCTCCCTGGTATAAGCAGGGATACCAGCAGAGTAGCACACTGGCTCAGAAACCTTGCCAGGGATGCTGCCACCCATGTATGTCGACTGTGTTGTGGGGAAGAGAGTCCTGTCATTGAGCTCCACAACATGAGTCTTCCACTTATCCGCAGCCTCAATCTTGGGATTGATATACTTGACACCGTTGCGCTCGATCTTGGCAATGGCGTCGGAAATCCACCGGCCCTGCACCGCGACCGACGTGGGGCCATTGCTCAGAAGCGTCGGACCGTGTGCGCCATAGATGTGGAACATATTGGGGTAGCCGCTGACAGTAGTACCGAGGTAGGTCTTCGCGCCTGGAATCCATTCCTTCTCGAGCTCGGCACCGTCGATGCTCTTCAGGCCGAGCTGGGTCATGACACCGGTAACAACATCCTGTGACTATTAGCGCGTGCTGTCTCATGAGTGTATCAAGCAGAACTTACAAATCCAGTCGCGACAGCAACGACATCAAGTTCATGGTGAGTTCCGTCCTCAAGGGTGATGCCGGTCTCGGTAAACTCCTTGATCGGGTTATTTCCGATGTTAACCAGGTGCACCGACTCCCGATTGAACTGCTCGTAGTAGTCTCTTTCAAGACACGGCCGCTTGATACCGAAGTAATGCGGCATCTTCAGTGGCGCAAGCAAATCCCTCGCAACGGGGTCACCGATACGATCACGGGTCTTCTTCACCCAGAAATTGTACGACTCCTTGTTGGCCTCGGCATTGAACAAGTTATCCTTGTACACACCAACCCAAAAGCGGAAGCCACCTTCCTTCCAGACGCTCTCGAAGAAGGCCTCACGCTCCTCGGGTGTGTCGTCGAAGGTGTTGCGCTCGTACCAATCATACAGGAAGCCCGCAAAGCTGGTCTCGCGGTACCGGAACAGCTCTGGATAGTTTGGCTTGAGGCGTTCCTGCTCCTCAACAGTGAGGTCTCGCTTGCGCATGGGGACGGCGAGGTTAGGGGTGCGTTGGAAGACTTTGAGGTCGCCGGCCTCAGGGCCCCAAGCCTGCGTGATTTGCACACCCGAGGCACCGGTGCCGATGACAGCAGCGCGCTTGTTTTTCACCTCGATTTTCTCCTCGGGCCAGAAGGAAGAGTGGTGCACGATACCCTTGAATTTATCCATGCCAGGCCACGGGGGAATGTAACGCTTGGCGGCCTAAGTGGTTCATTAGTAGCTCTTTATTTGACTGATGGGTGTAATTGCTCACAAAGCCGGTTCCAAGGACGAGATATTTGGCCTTGGTCGTGCGACCATCGGCAGTCTTGATATTCCATTTGCCCTCCTTTGTATCGAACTGAGCTCCAATCACGACGGTGTTGAAAGAGCAGTCCTTCTTGATACCAACTACTTTATCCACGTGATCGAAGTAATCACGCAGGTTTTGGTAGTTGGGGTAGTTGTTGGGCCAATTCCACGTGTTGTAGACCTCGGGCCAAGAGAACTCGTACTCGGGGACTTCAGAGTCGACACCGGCACCGGGGTAGCAATTCCATCGCCAGGTGCCACCCATGTCGTTGCCGGCCTCGAAAATGACCGTCTTCAGACCGCGATCGCGAAGGGTCTTGAGCATGAAAACACCGGCTATCTCGTTAGCTAATGAATGGATGAACCGTTTACTGCCAACTTACCAAATCCAGCACCGACGACCAAAGCATCGACCTCGAGATTGTCGGCATATGGCCCAGTCTTGTCGGCGTGAACAGTTGAGTAGTCGGTGAGCTCAGTGTTATACTTCTTCGGCTTGGAGGCCGTCTCCTCTTTGCTGGCCATGATTAGAATGACAAAGTGTTGTAGTTGTAACTGAATAAGAAGATTGATTGTTGGGATGTACGAAGCCTTCTACCCCGGACGCCTCCTCCTACTTATACATAGCTTCGTACACGCCTTACTGCTGATGTTAGCATATGTTGTCAACATTGGAACAATATCATCACCTAGTCCCATGACGCGGAGTACAGGTAACCGCAATGCACCCCTCCTTCATGCGTCCGCGTGGCAGACTTTTGGGGCCACCGGGACAATCCTTTTTGTCCACCAATTTGGTCTCAGAATTAATACATCATGAGTTGGAATCTGGCCTCTCAAGAGCTCCTTGTCATGGTGGCCACAAAAAACTGCTGTACACCACGTCACATTAGGGCTATCCCCAACTTGTCATCGTAAAATATACTGCAGCTGTGATTGGTCCCCACCGAGCGGGAATTGCGGATCCGGGACTGAGACAACCCTTCAGGTTCGAGAGCTTCCCCGCATTCGGCTCCGCAATGCGGTTCCGCAAAGTACAGTCTCCAAGGTTCGTATTGCCCCGGAATTAAGCGAACTCCTCGGTACCACGGGGTAATGGGAAAGCTATCTTCCGCTTGTTTCGAACTGTTAAATAAGTCAGTCCCGCGGTCTCCGCCCTGGTTGTTTATCTTGGTAAATCCGAACTCTCGTCAACAAACACATTTCCCCCCACAATTTCCCCACAATCGCCTATCCTTCCCTACACAAACATCAACAACATGTCTCTAAATGCACAGGTGCAATCGCATCTCCGCGATATTGTAGACAAAGCTTGTGAAGACCAAAAGTCCGGCATTCCTGGGACTACGGTCGTGGTCGTTGGCAAAGATGGCAACGAACTTTTCGCTCACTCCGCGGGTAAGCGAGGCGCGGGATCCGAAGACCCTATGACCCTCGACACCATTTTCTGGATTGCATCTTGTACTAAGGTGGTGGTTGGTCTTGCTTGCATGCAACTGGTTGAGCAGGGAATTCTCAAGTTGGATGATGCGGAGCAGACAGAGGGTCTTTGCCCTGAATTGAAGAGTCTCAAGGTTTTGCTGCCAGACGGTAGTTTTGAGGAAAAGAAGAATGGGATCACCCTGCGCATGCTCTTATCTCATACTGCTGGATTCGGCTATACATTTTTCAATGAGAGACTGAGACAGTGGTCGTACCCGATCGGCGCGGATGAGTTCTCTGGGCGGATTGAAGATATGAAGATGCCTCTGCTATTCCAGCCCGGTGAAGGTTGGCAATATGGCGTAAGTATGATCTTTCGGAATCATGAAACACATTGCTAATGAGTACAGGTTGGTATCGACTGGGCGGGAATCGCACTGGAACGCGCAACTGGCCTGACGCTCAACGAATACCTACAAAAGAATATCTTCCTGCCCCTTGGAATTAAGAACATGTCCATGATCCCAAGCCATGACATGCGTCAGAAGCTGGCATACATGAATCAGCGAAACCCAGATGGGACCCTGAGGCCCCGAGACCATCCTCTTCGGGCGCCTCTAGTGGTTGATCTGGAGAACAAGGCTGAAGTCGCCAGGGTGTTCAATAGCGGTGGTGCGGGTATATTTGCCAAGCCACAGGATTACTGCAGTAAGTCGCGGGTAGCTCCGACCCGAAGAAACCACACACTAACTTATCTCCGCAGAGGTCCTCGCTGTGCTGTTGAATGATGGAACGTGCCCTAAAACGGGCAGCAAGTTGCTTCGCAAGGAGACCGTCGACGAAATGTTCTCTAACCAGATCCCTCAGTTCCCCAACTACAGCCGTCAAAGCATCCCAGATGCAAAGCCGGACCTGACCAACCCCGTTCCTGAGCTGTACCCAGTTGCTGGGAACCCACCACAGGGTTGGGGCCTCACTTTCATGCTGAGCAACGGCGGTCCGACAGGGCGGTCAACTAGCACAGGGCACTGGGCTGGGCTCCCGAATTTGTGGTGGTGGGCGGACAGGGAGAAGGGTGTTGCAGGGATTGTTTGTACACAGATTCTGCCATTTGTAGACCTTAATGTACTTGGGCTATGGGGAACAGTTGAGGCTGAGATATACAAAGCCCTCAATAAGGCTTGATGTGGGAGACATTATTTTTAATTTACCAGCCTTCAAATGTTTCAGGAGGAATACAGATAATTTACCCAGAAGTCATGTGACCGGGTTGGTCTGAAGATGCTCACCGGTGCATATTTGTAATTAGTCAGCATGTCACGGGTCCAGTTGAAACTCTCCATTTTGACAGCCACTGATTGGTGCATATTAATTAATTCCTATCAGATTCAGCTAGCCCGAGTTGTGGAGAGTAATATATTTTCCTTCTCCTCTATGGTGTCATTTAATTGTAAAAATTCCTGTAGTCAACCTATGAGTTATTCTCAACACTTTCAGATCAAAACAGACAATACCATTCAGCATTCATGGATGTACGGACTAAGGGAAATCCGGGGAATGCGGGGTCGAACGCCCCAGAAAATAGAAAAAACCCTAAATATGAAGATCCGTTCCAATGCAGGTTTACGTGGTTCGTTCCCCGCTTTTTGACGACATCTCGGATTCTCACAGCCCCTGGGCAAAACGAGAAAGAAGGATAAGGAATCAACCACAGTGGTCGGTATGTCCGTCCAGAAACGAAGCACGACACTTGCACAAGGATCCAGATCCAGACGTCAGTACCGCTCTTGCGACCAGTGCAGAAAATCCAAGCGAGCATGCGATGCACCATGCCTGGACCCGACTAGACGAACAGTGATTAACAACTTTGATGGCCAGCGATCACCTTGTTCCTACTGTGTTAGAACAAATAAACGCTGTACTATGGAATGGGCCCGATCACAGACTCAGTCTGCGCTGAGATCGCCTCGCCAATCTCATTCTGGGTATGGGAGTCGAGATCTTCTCTTCCCATGGAAGTCAATTGAGCTCCAGGTTGAAACCGGACCTGGAACATGGAGCAATCTACTCGATCCAAATTATACGCGGGAGGTTATGAATTGGGACTCGGAGTCAGCAAATGTGGATTTGTCTGGGTCGTTGCTCGATTGTACTTCAACGCTGTTCAGTTCCATGCTCAACGAGCCCGAGACCTCCCAGGAAAATGTTCAGGTGGATATTCCTGACGCATTGATGCCTGCACGGTCTGTGTCTGATCTCATTCCACCATACTTCCCCATTTCCCCAAACACCTCCACGCAACCACCCTCGGATCTCGAACTTGATCCAATGTATCAACAGATGTGGCTGGCCTCCCAGGCTTCTCAGACATACAGTAGCCTCGGATCCGCCCCATCCCAAAGCCCGCGGCGACCGAGTGACTCCGCTTGGATGTCTGCCAACCAGCAATCCTCCGACTGGCCCAGCCCGCAAAGATCACTCTCCCCGTTTTCCATCGACCAACAAATGATTAACACATCCAACTCCTATTTGACTTCAGTCAATCTGTTGCAAATATATCACGATGTGCTAGAGCATAACCTGTCGTGTTGGCTAAGCGATATGACTTGTCCCTACCAACTAGGATCACGAAATACCCGTCAGCTTGTACCCGAATTGGGATATTCACGGTCTGATATGATATATCAGCGCACGATCCGGCTCGATCGCGTCGCACAGTCTTCCAATCTTCTCCAGCTGACACGCGCCGAGGACCAGGCCGCCTCCAAAGCTTTGCACCTTGCAATCATGGCATTTGCTACGCAGTGGGCACAGGGCAGTTACCGACACCGCGAGAAATATCCGACCAAGTCTCTCGACGGTGGAGAGGATGAAATCGCCAATGGCGTCGCCGACGAGTTCGATCGCATTCTTCAGAACCACTTTTGGGAGCAGGCGCAGCGCGCGCTCCAACAAGTCGCCGGTTTGGAGTCGTATAGAGTTACATGGGCCGAGCTGATCTTCGGCTTCACACAAAGGCCGTGGAATCCCGACACTCGGCCTTCTAGACAGCGGGTGCAAGAACAAGGCTCCGGGTTTGCCACCGAATCCGTCTTGACAAAGTTACACGATATAATACACAAAGATGGACCACCAGTATACATGGAGAGAGCAGCTCGGAAAATGCACGCCTTGAAGTTTCGCTGCGACGTGCTCGAAAAGGGCCTCGGCAAGCCGTACGGCAGTCGCAAGAAAGGGGCCCATGGCATTGAAGCCATGAGTGCGGAAGAACGAGGGACAATTGGCCTGCTCTACTGGATGGCTATCATGTGTGATACCCTCTCCTCGTCTATGAACGAACGACCCGTCGTGGTGCTGGATCAGGACTGCGAGCACGAGCGGCAAAAAGAGATCCAGCAAGCCGGGAATATCGACAAATCTATCGGAAGAAGTCGATGGAATCTCGATCTCTTTTTGCAAGGAAACCTCAAGCAGATGCGTCGAACGCACTGGCCCTGTTCCTATGAGGCTGCCGCTGAAGACGTGATCAAGTCAGCGCCAGTCAAGGTTCTTCTATTCCGCCACCTGTCTTACCTACAAAACGCGGTTCGCAAGAGTGCTCCTGAAGAGCAGATCGAAGATATTGTCCGCATGGCGATGTTGTTATATGAATACTGGAATAGAACGCACGGCGCCTTCTTCGATGAACTAGTGCAGAACTACCATGCGGTTCCGCAGCGCATACGGGGCTGGTTCCTCTGTATCTCTGCGCACTGGAACCTTGCTGCGCTTATGTTTGCTGACCTGCTAGAATTCATCGACGAGAATTCCCTAGGCGTGGATGGTGCAACTCGTATCACCGGTCAAGTGGCGAGGAGAATTAGGATGCACAGCGCCAGGGAACTATCAATTCTGGCAAGAGTCGGTACGCCGTCTACCAGAAATAGTGATAACCTTTGTGTGCCGCAGATGTCAGACTTCCACCACGCTGTCAAGGAGAGCACACTTTTGACCGAGCCATGGACGATAGTTTTAATCAGAGCATTTACCAAAGCTTCCATGGTCTTTCTAGGTGAAGCAGATGAGTCCTTGCGGTACGACGGAATTATTCTCGGGCAGAGCAGTCATGATTTCGAGGGGAATATGGAGCAAGCGGAGGATTGTATGAAGGGGCTGTGGCTACTAGGTAAAAAGTCGGATATGGCACGGGAGATTGCCGAGATCCTTTCACTCGCGTTAAGAGAATTGCGGAAGAGGTGTGTTATATAGCTTCCACAATTCTGCAATCAACTTCATATTCACTGATGGACGCGTTTTACAGTAAGGTAGCCGCTCTCTTACCGGTTGTGTTGTCATAGTAGACGATTGCGGTGAATACTAAGGGACTAATGATTGGCGGGCACTACGTCTCTAAATAAGCCTCTGTTCTGTATCGCAGGAGCATTATCAGAGTACGAGATCTTTCTTGATTTGGAAACAAGCACCTGCGATTATGAACCTTTAATTGAGTTATTCTAGGTGAGGTTCATATATTACAGTTCGCTAAATTACTATGATACATCCATCTTCGATATCAAAATATGTGTTAAATGCCCCAAGGGGTCAACGAATAAGTTGTTCCTGTCTTTCACAGTCTGGGCCTTCAAGAAGATTTTGGGCAGAGTCGCCCATTGTTGTTCCACGAGTAAGGCAGCGGATCAAGAGTCTGAACCTCCCAGTCCTCAGCACCAACGGCAGTCAGGGCAAAGAAAAGACCCGTAGGATCATACTTCTGCTTGAGCGCATAGAGTCGAGGGTAGTTAACGCCGTAAAAAGCATCCTGGAGATTCGGCTCGACAAGATCGGCCTCGCTCATGTAGGCACCTGAGTCTGGGGCAATTTCACGTAGAACGTCCATCCACTCAGTCACGAAGCGGGAGGAGCTCTCCACCACGTCCCAGGAGGAGGTGAAGTTCCATTCAGAACCGACAATAACGTGTGAGAGGGCATCGCGCCATGCAGGGAGCACGGCATTGTCTGTGGGGGGCTCAGCGGCAATGCCGGTGCCGCTGATGTGAAAGCCGGCAATGAAGAGGCCCTATACCAAGTCAGAAATTATTCCAAAAGGGGAGAGGTTATGCATTTGTGTATACATATATAACATACCTGAGTAATAGCATCCTTGTAGGCGGCCCAGGTTTGATTGCGGAGATCATCGCTCTGGAAAACGCTGCGGGGGAGCAAGCGAGAGGCAGTCTTTACGACATCGGTTCCAACGTATTCCTGGGGGAAGGCCACGGCCCAGGCATCATGGCTGGAAGAAAGTTTTAGCTGGGATGTAGATGCACAGATTTTGCAAAGGAACGGGGAGAATTCAAACGTACAAGTTATCCGCGTGATTGTACCACGGAGTGAAGGAGATATTAAGGCTTTTGAGGGTATCAAACCATGGAGCCAGGAGTGCCTCAGTCTGGGCAACAGTCATGTTGGGTGCGACGAAGGATTCCATACGGAAATAATAGTCAGGATCACCGGCATACGTCGTACCAATCAAAGCATCGGAAGCACCGATATAGAAGTAACCGTAGGTGCCAGCATCAACAAAAGTCTCAAAATTGTCGAGGTAGGACCGAATAGCAGCCCAGAAAGCATCCGGACCAGGAGTGTCGCTGATTGTGAAATTGAAGGTCACAGTAGTCGTCTGCAGCTGAGGTAGGGCTTTGACTGTAAGAGAGGTGACGACTCCAATGGTACTACCACCACCACCGCGAAGCATCCAGAAGACTTCCGAGTTCTCAGTGGAGGTGGCAGTGATAAATCTGCCGTCTGCCAGAACAACTAAACAGAGTTAATAGGGAGGTCCTTTGAACAAATTTTCCATAGAAAAAGAGACTTACCTTGCATGGCCAGAACCTGATCGGCCGCCAGACCGTACATACTGGAAAGGGGAGAGTGGCCACCACCAGCAACGTAGCCACCGCCCAAACCAACAGTGACAGCTTCTCCGCCGACAACCGAGTGGCCGAGGGTCTTAGCAAATTCATAAGCCTCATGGACTTGGATACCCGAGCCAAACTTAATGGCCGGACCAACATAGCCATTGGCAGCCTTGAAGTTCGGGAGATACTCCTTGTCCTTGAGGTGGTGGGTCCAAATGGAGAGCGCACCCTTGCCGGAGGACTTGCCATTGAAATCATGTCCAGTATTCTTGACTACTAGCCGCAAGTTCAAGTTACGGGCAAAGTTAACCGCTAGCTGGATCTGAGCCACGGTGGATACGTTCACTGCATACGTCGGATATGCGCCCTGCGTGCAGCTGGCAGTATAGTTGAACGGTGATGGCAGACACGAGCGGCCTTGGTATAGCGGCGACATCACCGAGGTAGGATCCTCCATATGCAGGTCCGAGCTGAGCCAGTCAGCTGTGACGCTTGCGCACTTGGCGGCATCGTACTGCGGCCAGTCTGGATAGCAGTAGGATGCCAGGGGCACCGCTTTGAACAGGCTGCCGCCGAGCAAGATATCGAAGATGTCCCAAATCGGAGCCACGGGCCACCAGGAGTCCCCGGGCATTAGCTTGCAGCTACGATGAACACTCCTCTTGAGTACCGTGGAGTTGCTCGCAAATGCGAACATGTTAGCGACCGTGCTATTCTGCAATGCCGCCGACACATCAGAGAGCACACCTTCGGTCAACTGCACCTCCTCATTTTGGAATAACGATGGTGCCGAATTGGCCGCGGCTACCACGGTAGTTGCTGCTTCTGTGAGTGATGCGGTCGATATCGCCTGAGCGAGCGAAGCGCTCGCGAGGAGAGTAACTCCCCACATGCCCTTCATATCGGAGGAGATTTAGCACGACAATTCCAAGAACAAAAAAGAAAGAGAGACAGAAAAGGGCTAACCAGTCAAGGCAAAAGATATGGCCAACTCCCTGCTAAAAATGTGGACAGAAGTGCTACTTAAATATATCTTCTATAGGGGCACGAGGGACCCAAGAACGACAGAGCCATAAGAGCTTTCGCGACTATCGGGCTTGTGGCGCTATATTTTGATTAAAATATATCGGTCAATTTATTCTTTCGGTGCTATAGCCGACGCGAAGAAAGCCATTGTGCACTAAGTGACTAGTTGCATATATTAGCCAGCTAGGCGCAATTATTTCGCTTACCACCGTCTAGCTTCCCACAAAACACAAAATCAATAAAGTGCTCTCTATTTCTGGGGTTTCTCCGATTTTATTCTAAGATACTGACACATTTGGTGTAAAAGCAGTGTGTTCGTTCGTCAAATCCGTTTTCTGATACCTTTAGTGTAAGTAAGGCCGATTTTGGCCCCCAATATAGTTCCCCAGCCTAGGCCCTAAGTCTTTACATGAAACTTGACTAACTTGATTTCATTGGATTATAATAGCTCGCAAGCCATACGCTAGTCTAGTACAAGGCTCCACGACCGCACCTAGGCATATAATATAGAGAAGACGGCCTAATTGGATCACAATTACTCCGCACCCGAGGCCTTACCTACTGTGCTCAGTAGGCTTCACAGGAATAGACGGGCGTCCGAAAGTTACTTTCTCGGGCGATGCAGTTTAATATAGTATGCGGGTGAGAGTTTGACGCCAGTCGCAGGGATGTTGCTTATACTTAATGTAAACTGGCGCGCTGCCCAGCTGAGTCGGATTTCTCTTGTCAAAACAAGAGGTGACGGGCGCTGCCTTTTTGCCTACGAGATGATTAATCGGAGAGATTATGGGCTCTAATGATAACTTGCAATCGCAGGCCATCGGCCTGATCTTTGCCTTTCCGTGCTTCGCGAGTGCAGCTGTGGCTCTACGGCTTTACAGCCGCACGTTGACGAAATCGTTTGCCGCAGGTCAGTTCAATGATCCAATTCCTCTTCGTTTGTGGGTTCCATGAAACTAATAGAGAATAGATGACTGGGTTATTTGTCTCGCGATGGTGAGTACCGCAACCACTCTAAGAAAGTGCCTGGAGGATTGACAGAGGCAGATCATGTATTGGGCAGAGACATTTACGTCTTATAAAGGTAAGATATGAACAGCAAGGATGCTCCAGCGCATATATAACTCATGAAGCTAATCATCTCTTAGTGATCATCTATACGTACATCGGATATAACGTCTGGGATATACCTACTGACTATCCCGCCATTCTCGGCAGCAAATATACCTACGCGGTGGGTGGAATATATCCTTTCTCACCGTACTCGTTCGCGCTTGCTAATGAAATAGACCGAACTCCTCTACAATCCCATTTTAGCCCTCGTCAAGACCTCCATCCTACTCTTCCTGCTTCGTCTAACCGGCCAGAAACACTCAGTACGCCTGGCCATCTGGGGTCTCTTAATTTTCAACGGTATCGCCGCCATCACTACATTTCTTATCACTGTTCTGCATTGCATCCCAATTGCCGCTAATTGGGATGCGGCTTCATATCCCAATGCGAAATGTCTTGACTTTGCGAACTTCGTCACCGGCACGGCCTCAGTTTCCATTCTCACGGATATCCTTGCCTTAATACTACCCACCTGGATCGTATATCGCCTGCAGATGCAACGGAGACAGAAGTTGATGCTGATTGGCATTCTGTCCTTGGGTCTTTTGTGAGTTGCTCAACCGAACGTCTTCTTTCCCCATCAATCTGATACTAATAAATAAAGAACTGTGGCGGCTGGCATTATTCGACTCATTCTCCTTGACCATTTCGACCGTCATATGCCGGAGAATTACACGCACTCGGTCCTCTTTTGTGTGTCCACCATCGAAGTTGGCCTATCGTTCATCGCTGCGTGTGCTCCCTCGTTTAAGCCGCTCGTTACCCGGCTCGTCCCGAAGCTCTTCGGCTCCAGCCGCACCGGCCGGTATAACAGCTCCAGCAACCGTCTGGGCTACAACCTCGAGGACACGTCAAACTTCACACGCCGCACGCACGACCAGACCATCACCGTTGAAGCTGGCGGTGGCGAGCTTGGCCATAGTCACACGAAATCGAAAGCCGATAATGTGATCACCATGACAACGGAAATGGAGGTTACGTGGGGTCGGTCTAATTGCGAGGAGCAGGATACCAGCAGTACGGAGAGTCTTGTCTACGGAAAGGGAAGTAGCAGGCGTTCTAAATGATTTTGGAGGAATATTGCTCTGTTTGTTCCATAGATGTACTCTAGCTCGATTAAATACACAACTGTAAGAATGAAGCTTCTTGAACTGTGTAGTAATAGTTGCAAGTAACGGAGACCGTCAATACAACTGGCAGAAAGGGGGGGCATACCGCTTTCATAGCGACCGCCTTCGAGCGGGGTTTATCTTTAGGCAGAAGGGGCCCCAGAAATATTAAGCATCCATCAGTGGTTTTGTGCATCAGAACTGAGAAGCGTCTCGTCTGAATTCGTATCATCGAATCAAGAGCACAATCCAGTCCCTCTTCTCCTCAGCTCGGAGTTGTTTCTGATCGGGTCACCCTGGTCGTCTGCGGAAGGAGTGCTGATCCACTGTGGGTGTGGGTCAGACTCCGGTTTGACACCACTCTTTAGATAGAGGTAGGCTGTGTGAATATAAGACCCATTACCTACATATATGTATGTAGCCACAACATCGATGGAAAGACCAAGGGTTGCCAGCATAGTATTCCAAAAGTGCTGGGCAATAATGCTGCGCTACCTACCTAAGCCATAAAAGCTGGAGAGACCTAGACAAAAATGCATCATTTAAGTGTCATTAGTGGTGAACAACTTAGCTACCAAAATAGTCAGTCTTGTGCCTGCTGCTATCGTGGGAACAAATGCTGCCTGTGCCTTGCATGAGATGATATCTGTGACAAAATAGACCAGCAGCATAGCTCAGGCTCCAACCTGCACCTAGCCAGAAGTGGCTTTCACAGCTGCCAACTCCCGCCACAAACTAGTTTGCTTGTAGCAAAAAGTACAATGCCGTGAAGTTCAAACCCACCATTCTCATCATTTTTACCCACGTTGAATCAACATGGCCACTCTCGACTCCCTCAAGTGGGCTCTTAGGCAAAAAGCCACCGCAACGGGGTCATCCCCGAATCAGCCATTATCAGACATTCAGTACAACGCTGGCCTCGATATCTTACTGCAGGGTCCAACATACCAAGACTTCATCATCCCTCAGATCTCTCAGCTGCTAGCTTCTCTCTTGGACTCGAATATCCAGATATCGGTGCTAGAAATCGGACCCGGCTCAAAGAGCGTACTTGGATATCTGTCTGGTCGTCTGAGGCGGAAAATAAGGAAATACGCTGCATTCGAGCCCAATGGCCTGCTTGCTACAGGGTTGGAAAAATGGCTTTGCTCGACATCAGAGGCAGAGTCCCCGCTGCCCTGTCTGGAAAGCCCGCCTGATGTCCAGCGAATTCTATTCGGTGTAGAGAGCGACACGAATAGTACTGATACGCGTGACAGTGACGAAAAGTTCGATGTTATCCTATCTTGTCATGGCATGCATGATATGATGCCAAAAACCAGGTTCATCGAACAAGCGCTAGAAATGCTGGTTAAGCAACCCGAAGGAGGAATGGTGGTGATTTTTCATCGCGACTTGACCCTACACCTCGACGGATTAGTGTGCCATCGTACCGCTTGTTTTCCTATGGGAGCTGTTCGCGTGGCTAATAGTGACGAGATACTGGATTCTTTTGCTCCTTTCATCGCGGGGTTTGCCATTCGAGATGTGGAGGCGGACAAGGATACCCGAATTGAATGGCGTGAGGTGTGCCGCGCCTTGGGCCGCGAGGAGGCTCACCCAGACCATCTATTATTCAGCTCGCCCAACATCATGTCGGCCTTCACCCACCATGCGACCGCATTGCCGGAGCTGACAGCACAGGTGCCATTGTTGGAAGGGGGCGAAGCTGTTAAGAACCGAGAGGCTCATCTTCACCACCCCGCCTCGACTGTTAGGCCGACAGAGGTACGACAAATTCAGCAGTGTGTTAAATGGGCTCTGAAGCACGGTGTTAATTTGACCGTCGTTGGCGGGGGTCACAGCGGCCACTGCCTACGTCCCAACGTCGTTTCGGTCGACATGAGCGCCTTTGAACAAGTGCACATTATCACAGCCGAGGATAGTGGACTAGAATCTGGTCTTGATTCTGTTCCCTTGGTTGTCGCCGAGGCGGGCTGCAAGATAGGGGATATTGTCCGCAAGACCATGGCAGCCGGCATGACAGTGCCCTTAGGGGCCCGCCCAAGTGTAGGCGCGGGGCTATGGCTACAAGGCGGCATCGGGCACCTGGCTAGGATATACGGGCTCGCGTGTGACGCCATCGTCGGTGCCGTGATGGTCAGCGTCGACTCTAGCCAAGCCTTTTGCATCGGCCGTGTACCAAGCCAACATTGGCCGACCGGTGCCGTGCGCCCAGAAAACGAAGCCGATCTGTTGTGGGCGATAAAAGGAGCTGGAACCAACTTCGGTATCGTGGTCAGCGTTACTTTCCAGGCTCACGCGGCTCCGGTGTTCTCAATTCGAAATTGGGTTGTCCCGCTGAGTGACAATCTCGAGGCGCAGGGCAGGCTCAGCGATTTTGATAACTTAGTCGCGAGGAAGCTTCCTCGGAACTATTCTGTGGACGCGTATCTGTATTGGGACCTCGGAAAGTTGCATCTTGGCGTGACCATGTTTGAATCTTCCGCGAACGGGCGCACCTCTGGGACACCCATCTCCACGCCCATGCCCACGCCCGCAGCAACAATTTTCGGGCGGGAAGACAATTTTCAGGTCGTGGACTGCGTCGGCTTGTTTGACGCCGATATGTACATGTCCGGAATGCACAGTGGGCAGACCAGCACCAAGACATCAGCATTCAAGCGATGTTTATTCTTAAAAAGTATTGGCGCGTTGAATGTCGCCAAAATATTGCTAGCAGCCGTTGAGACTCGCCCCTCGCCACTGTGCTATCTCAATCTGCTACAAGGTGGCGGAGCTATCAGTGACCTGGCGGCCGATGCGACTGCTTTCGGTTGTCGAGACTGGGACTTTGCCTGCGTGATCACTGGCGTCTGGCCACGCGACCAAGATGGAACCGAAGTCGCACAAGCCGCCGTACGGTGGGTGTATAAGGTCGCTAGCGACTTGTTGCCCACGAGTAGCGGAGTTTACGGCGCAGACCTGGGGCCGGACCCTAGAGACGCCGCGCTGGCGGCCAAGGCTTTTGGGTCGAACCGGTCACGCCTGGCTCGCCTCAAGCGCAGCTCGGATCCGCATAATGTGCTAGCTTACACCTGCCCGCTTCCTAGAGCGCCCATAGAACATAAGCTTGTCATTCTAGTCACAGGCGTAAGCGGCGCTGGTAAGGATTATTGCGCCGACATCTGGGTCTCCGTATTCCTTGAACACACCCAGAAAAGCCTTATGGCGCGCGCAGTCAGCATTAGCGATGCGACCAAGCGAGAATACGCGGCGGCCACTGGTGCCGACTTCAACCGCCTGCTTCAAGACCGTGGCTATAAAGAGGAACATCGGCCAGCGTTGACAGCGTTCTTCCAGAGCCAAGTGCGACATCGACCTCGGTTGCCAGAGGAGCATTTTCTAAATGTGGTAAACGGTGCCGGAGACGTACATGTGCTGCTAATCACCGGAATGAGAGATGAGGCGCCAGTTGCAGCCTTCTCGCATTTGGTGCCAGGCAGCAGACTGCTCGAGGTCCGGGTGAACAGTAGCAAAGAGGCACGGCTTGCCCGCCGAGGCTGCCATGGCGGTGATTCTGATCGTGGCGACAACGAGAATGGCAGCCGCCCCGGCCTCATCTTCAATAATGACGTGACCGGAAACGACGCGGCCAAAAGGTTTGCCGAAGAATACCTGATTCGCTTCCTCGATGGAGACCTCCAGCGACTAGCCAACATGGTGCGTCCGGTACCTGACTTTCCACGCCCGGGCGTCGAATTCCGCCATGTGCTCAACATCTGCCAGCAGCCGGGTGGGCTAGCCCTGTGCACCTCTCTGCTACAGACTCACTTCACTGGTAAATGGGCCAAGGTTGACGTGATAGTGAGTTGTGAGACCGGCGGCTTCATCTATGCGTCGGCGTTGGCCTCGCGGGTTGATGTGCCTTTGGTGCTGATTCGGGAAGCCGGGAAACTGCCGCCACCCACCGTTTCCGTCCTCAAGTCTACCTCACATATCTCTTCGGCATCCAGTTCAAATGAGAATAGGATTGAGATAGAACGGGATTTGATCCCTAGAGGTGCTTCGGTGGTGGTTGTAGATGATGTGCTCGCCACGGGGAATACACTCTGTGCAGTGCTCCAGCTCCTAGGTGAAGTTGGCATTGCTAATGTCAGCGTCATGGTCGTGGCTGAGTTCCCTGTTCATCGCGGTCGGGAAGCGTTGCGCCAGCGTGGATTTGACGTCAATGTTCAAAGCCTTTTGGTGTTTGATGGCGCCTAGAAAAGGCGAGAATGTTGGAATGTAGAGTGCAGATCTCTCTTCTTTTAGTTGAATTTTGCTACATTTGCCAGTTCGATCTACAACATCCTAACCGTCTAATTCTCCCGATGCCTTAACAAGTCGATTGACATAATTTCTATCTAATCAATCATTGGAGTAGTGCGTAATATGTGAATGTTGTGGTTGTGCTTCAACTGTTTACCACGGGGGTCGTGAGGTACCATCTCCGTGACTCCGCTACTCCGCTACTCCGCAGTTGATCAGCATCTTCAACAACTCAACCATGTACGACTCCTATCGTCAGTATTTCCATCATCCTCGCTCGTATATATGCAAATAGCTAACACTGTTCTAGGTCCCCACCCTCTCCTTGCCCAGGTCCCACTGACCGTTTCACCCTTCATCACCCTCCCCACCTCCGTCACATTACCCTACACGTACAAATCTGTCCCCTCGTCTCTACCCCCGTCAGTGACAATCGATCCAAACAGCCCGGATGGTAAGGCCCGGTATGTCGTCTCCCCAAGCGGTGAGCACGCAGCTCATCCAGACGATGTCCTCGCCGCATGTCACTCCCTCGAACAACATTTGAACCAGGCTCGCGCCAACGCGGAGCAAGCGATCAACACATGGAAAGAGGCTATCAAACAACGCGAGTTAGCGGAAAAGAGACGCCTCGCTCCTGGGTGGCTTGACCGCGAGGAAAAGCTCCT